GGTTTATTTGGTTTATCGTTTATGTTTTTGTAAGAGTGCCTGTGTATCTTTCTGTCTGTTTGTGCATGTGTGTAAGCGTGTCTCTGTATGTTTGTGCATGTGTGTGTGTCTATTTGTTTGTGTATATGTATACATACACACACACACAAACACATAGAACACACACACACACATATATATATATATTCATTAATGGTGAGATTGTCCAACCTGCTCTTGCAAACACAGCTGGCCAGTACAAATACATAAATGCACCATCTCTTACAATTACCGTGAGCACCTAACTCGTTCTAGGCCAGACACGTTTCGTCCAATATGGGACTCACCAGTAGCCCGAGATTAAACTCCACACAAAAACTTCTTCCAATCACTATCTCACTGAACAATATCGCAAACTAAGGTGCCTTTAAGTAATTCACGAAAAGGCATTTTTGTCGATGGAGACATACAGTTACTCTGCCGAATGGGTTATAGTGAGTCGACTCGTATCCACAAGTAAGTGAGTGAGTCGTTTATGAAGGATGAGAATCTCCGACCGATTTGTCTATAAAAAAAATTTTATATTTATATTTTTTTTTATCGTCTAAAAATGTTTCTACATTGTCATAATTTAATGCAAACATAAAAACTGGCCATCGTAAACGTGTACTGTATGATTAAGCACCAGTAATGGAATGGACGACATGTACAAAGACGCAGTCACAAACTTACTACACATCTAACAAACCATTCTTTGGGTTCCCAAGCAGCTTTTGAAAAACCCTTAAAAACGTAAATACTTTTAACAACATAAGCGATGTACAAAAACACGTAGACACGCAAGCACACACACACGCTCACATGCACTCGCACACACGCACGTGCATAATACATGAAAACAATTTAAAAACATAAAACGGCTCGGTGTTTATTTATGAGATAAGACTCGCTTCGACAGATGAGACCAATCGTATTATCGCCCATCTCTCAGCGCCCGTCACTTTTTGATCCAGCCCATCACTACTCGATACTGCCCATCCCTACTCGATACTGCCCATCCCTATTCGATACTGTCCATCACATTTCTACATTAAAAGGTACATACTTATTTATCAGACAAACATAGTTGGACATTTGAGAGAATTCTTTCGTTTTTATTGCTATTTTCGATATTAAATATTAACAATCTATTATTAATACTATTATTATTATTGTTGTTGCTGTTGATAAATTTAACTAACAAATGTTAGTTGAATTTACTTATAGAACACATTAAACCGATAAAACTTATTCAAATCTTTCTATCAGGGGCTTATGGATTGTCCCAGGGAAAATCCACCCTATTAGAGCTCCACTACTGAAATTTATATTTAGCCTTTTTACGCAAGAAACCGCAAATCACCCAACTTTTCAAATTTCTTCGCTATTTAAATAGCCACAAAATATTTTAACTGTAATTACAGAACGAATACAATTTATTTACAAATCGGTTTTCCAAATATTTGAAATTAAGTATGGAAACGAACGGAGCTGTTCATTTTAATCCAACGAGTTGTTAGTCATGAAAGTTATTTGGAAGGATGCTTTCGAATGTTGGCACGGTTTCGCACAAACGTCATTGAACGTTATTTGATTTTCGTTTGAGTTTAATAGGAAATTTATTTCAAATATAACCTTCACAACGTAATCAGTTTGAAACAATGAAAAATTAACGAATAAAAATTTTAGATTCAATGTGTGTCTGTGTGTTTGTGTGCGTGCAAGCGTGTGTGTGTGCGTGCGAGCGTGCGTGTGTGTGTGTGTTTGTGTGTGTGTGGTTATATTCATTTTGCAAATTTATAATTTATTCATCAAAAATTCAATAACCTATTTGAAAATTTTGACGGTCAAATAAATATTAATGAATTATTCAAACAAAAGAATTATTGAAGTAAATAATTTTTTGCTATGATGTAAATTAGGTAAAAAAAACTTTTTATTGCACAAGCGCTTTTTTTGGATTGTTAATACATGAATGATAAAATAAAAGTATCAATAAATTTTTATTCATCTTCATTGAGTTGTTGTTTTCAACTCACTCCATTCATTTGTCTATCTATCCATTCATCCATCCAACCATCCACCCATCTCTATCATCAATATCTATCTATCTATCTATCCATCCAATTGTCCTTCAATCATCCATATATCTATTCACCTATTCATCTATACATTCAGTGTTGCAAACAAAATCTGTAATTTTCAGTTTTTAAGCAGATTGAACAACATACACTAATAAAATCAAGTCTAATTTTAGACACACTAGCGAACATTTGAATATATTTTGGCCTAGCCGTCAAATATCAAAAGATGCCAACATTTTATAAATTTTGTCTTCGAATCAACAGTGTCTAAATCCGCAACTGCATCCATCAATCAATCATCCACATATCAATCTCTCTATCCGCCCATCCATCCGTATATCTACACGCCAAAAAATACAAACCTTAACCCAACAATTTGTTTCAGGAAAGCTTTTCATGGTTTTTTAACAATCTTGAAAATTTTTCTCCCGGGTCGAAAAAATTAGCTATTTATGCGGCCCTTCAAAGGTAAAATAGTTCTCAATGCGGCCCTCACAGCAAAAAGTTGGCCCACCCCCTGCTTTGAAAGGTTAGATACATGAATGATAAAATAAAAGTGTCAATAAATTTAACTCATTTATTCGTTTGTACATCTGTTCATTTATCTAGACCTATCTATCCACCCATCCATAAATCCATCTATCATCCATATTCCTATCGTTCACTTTATTCAATTAGAACTGAAAATTTATCACGAGAGCCCTTGCATTTTTCAATGCCATAATTGTACATTTTTAAAAAAAATTTAAACGCTCGCACCTTTTGACCTAAAATTATTAATTAAAAACTATTAAACAAACAATAATATGTTATAAAAATAATTTGAAAATAAATTAAAAACATCCGTGATGAATTCTACACACTCAACGTTATCCTAACACCAAGAAGGGACGCAGTCAAAAAAATGTGTTTTGTGGATGAAGAATTGATTTTTTTTCAGTTGACGAACCATTTTTTTGCTTCTTTTACATTTTTTTAAGATTTTCTTATTAAAAACTTTTCTTCTTTCATTAAAATTTGCAAAATATTGCAGTTGTTGAAGAGCTGATACTTTTTAAAATCAAAATTCATTAAACTTCAATTAAAGTTACATCAAAATTAACTTTAACCTCAGTAAAAATTTATATTTTTCAGTCAGTTCAGTCCCAAAAGCCTTGCTTCCTGGCTGCCCTCTTGCCGGCAGACAAACGCCGATTGAGCCGTTAAATGTTATCGCAATAGTATACCACGTTATCACGTCTGTTGCAACAATACTCGTAGAGGAAAAGCGAATGTGTGATACTCCCACACTTGTAGCATTTAATAAAAACTTTTACATCCCTTGAACAAACGCCTGGCTTTGGCAGGGGCTTGAAACCTGGCTTCATAAAATCGTCTTTACTACACTCGACCACAGTCGCCATGATGGCGGCGATCGTGGCGACGATGAAGATGACGTTTATGGTGAGTTTTGGTGATTTTAATACGCTGTGGTGATTTTGGTTAACCATGGCAGTTTCTCAAGTTTGAATTCAGTAGTGATTTTATACTAGCGATCCTGGTCGTTACGTATGTTGCAGTTAATGATGAAGATGTAATTATGATGTTGGACGTGTTATGTTGCTGATATTGACCTGAGAAGGAGGTTCGTAAATGATGAAATTTAACTGTCCGAATATCGTTGGGGATGAAAATGGTGGAGAAACTTTAAAGGGTTTTTTGTCTATTTCATTCTGAAAATTTTTCACAAACTTGTTAACCAAAATTGAGAATGTTATGCTTGAATATTACTAAAAATGAGTCTCAATGATTAATCAAAATTTACCCAAATAGTATTCCAATGCTAATCCAATACTTTTTCTATTTCAATATTAAAATAATACTTTCATTAAAACTACTAATTAAATAATTAAACTAAAGTCAGGTGCTGCTCAAGTAAAATTACTGAAATCATTCATGGATGTTTTTAGAATATTCCTAATTAGTCATAGCCCTTTATATTTGTTTGTATGCATGTGAGCTTCTGTATGTGCATTTAATATTTCGATCTGTATGTGGCCTACGTATGTAATGTATGTATGTGTGTATGTATGTACGTATGTATGTGTGTGTGTATGTATATAAGTATGTATGTATGTTTGTATTTATGTATGTATGTATGTTTGTATTTATGTATGTAAGTATGTATGTTTGCATGTATGTACGTATGCATATATAATTTAGTTTAAACTAGTCATCTGAAAAATGTTAGATCAAGGCAGATGGTTACATTGTCTCGTTATGCGCAGCGTTAATATGGGCTGGGAGACCTATGCTACGCTATGTTAGTTTGTTGTGTTGATTGTGTGATGTTGTTGATGTTGTTGTTGCTTTCGCTGATGTAACTTTTTGTCGTCGTTTATGTTTACAACAGTATCAACAACAACCAAACACGACAACAACCAAACTAAGCAACAACCAAACTAAACAACAACCAAACATGACAACAACAAAACTAAACAACAACGGTATAAATATTCAAACACCCTCACACGCACATGCTGACAGAATTAATGAAATTTTATAAGATACAAATTACACATAGATAGATAGATAGATAGAAAGATAGATAGATGGATGGATGGATGGATAGATGGATGGATGGATGGATGGATGGATGGATAGATAGATAGATAGATAGATAGATAGATAGATAGATAGATAGATAGATAGATAGATAGATAGATAGATAGATAGATAGATAGATAGATAGATAGATAGATAGATAGATAGATAGATAGATAGATAGATAGATAGATAGATAGATAATTAATCAAGTCACATAATTAAAACTTAATTATACGGTACAATCCATTATTTGCAATTCAACTAGTTTTATTGTTCTCTGTTTTATTCGCTTCAATAAGATGAAACTGAGTGTTATTTCGTATTGAATTGTTGAATCGACTTGTGTCTGTGTGTGTGTGACTGCGTATGTGCATGTGTGTGTGTGCCTGCGTGTGTGTGTGTGTGTGTGACTGCATATGTGCATGTGTGTGTGTGTCTGCGTGTGTGTGTGTTGAGAAAAATCAAATCATCAAGTCCAAAAACTAATCTAGATAACTTCTCAATGAGACGGGGTCAAATTTTGACGGCGAAGTCAAAATCCAGAAATATTTAGTGGCTATAATTATAAATGGTAATATAGTTATTGTTATTATTACCATTATTAATTATTATCATTAATTTTTATTTATTCAAGAACAAAAAAAAAAAATTCTCATCTATATGTTCTTTTTATACAAATAACAAAAAAAGAAAAACATTATTTATATATATATATATATATATGCTATATATATATATATATTCTATATATATATATATATGTGTGTGTGTGTGTATATATATATATATAGCACAGGAATAAGCATACAAATATGTAAAAAATATAAAAATACAAACACACGTGTACAAAATAATACAAACACACATACAAAATAATACATATAAAACAAACATACAAACGAAAAAACAAAAAGTGACGGTAATTGTATTTGCATATAAGCTTTTTAGCACCGCATATATTAAAAATAAAACAAAAATATATGGCTTTAACATTTGTTAATATGCTAAGGTTTTCGAAACAATATAAATCAATAACTAAGTAACTTAGCTTATGATTAATAAATTTAAATAACTTAATTTTTAAATGATGATCAACTAGATAACCTTATTCATGAATATGTGTTGCTGTTGGAATATCATTGGTGTATATATTGGGAAGGATGAAACAATTTTACATTTCAAACAGTTGAAGGGAGCCAACAATTAAACTACCCGATCTCAATCAATCAATCAGTCAATCAGTCAATCAATCAATCAATCCATCAATCAATCAATCAATCAATCAATCAATCAATCAATCAATCAATCAATCAATCAATTAATCAATCAATCAATCAATCAATCAATCAATCAATCAATCAATCAATCAATCAATCAATCAATCAATCAATCAATCAATCAATCAATCAATCAATCAGTCAATCAGTCAATCAGTCAATCAGTCAGTCAGTCAGTCAATCAATCAGTCAATCAATCAATCAATCCATCAATCAATCAATCAATCAATCAATCAATCAATCAATCAATCGATCGATCGATCAACCAACCAATCAACCAATTAATCAATGTATAAATTAAATAATCAGCCAACCAACCAAATAACCATCAAACTAATTAACCAACCAACCAATCAATCAGCCAACTAATCAACCAACCAATCAATCAGCCAACTAATCAATCAACCAGCGAATTTGTCAGCCGGAACACAGGAGCGCCAGCAAATTATCGCCAGTCCTATCCGGATCATCATCCGGACTCATCCTCAAAACATATTTCCGGTCGGGACTCGAAGCCATCCTCGCTATCTCTCCCAGGTAGACGTCAGTGCCGATAGCGACGACATAGATTTGAACTCCTGACCTTTTAAGGAGGTCAGCCCCTTGACCTGGTTCCAGTTCGTTTACATTTGCGTAACCGTCTGTGATAAGGATGACTACGTTGGGGACGCCAGGGCGATCCCCATTTGACTGGTGATGATGATGATGATGGTGGGTGGTGATGATGATGATGATGGTGGGTGGAGATGATGATGATGATGGTAGTGGTGATGATGATGATGATGGTAGTGGTGATGATGATGATGATGGTAGTGGTGATGATGATGATGAGGGTGATGAATGACGATAACAGTGATAGATAACGACGATGTTCAAAATGGAAAATTTTAACGGTGGATTTTCATAAAGACGACATTAACAACGAGTGACACACAAAATTACAGCAAAAACATACACAACACACGCCACACAACACACGCCACACAACACACGCCACACAACACACGTCACACAACACACGCCACACAACACAAGCCACGCAACACGCGTCACACAACACACACACCAACCTGAACAAACAATGTACTAGCAGTAAACTCCATGGCGCTTCTTATGTTAGTCTGACCACCGGCGTTTGTGAAATCAAACGCCTTCAGACTGGCTTCTTTATCGCCCCTGAACCTACTCAACAGAAAATAACTCAAAACGTTGACGGAAAACGCGACAGACGCCACTCTTACTAGGTCAGAATCGATGTCTAGACCGGATGTGATGTGTCTGGCAAAGGAGACAGACTTCCGGTATTCATCTATGACGCTGCCGGAAATGTCGAAGATGAAAACAAGGTCGATCTGAACGGTGCAGACTGTGTGCGTGTGTGTGCGTACGTGTGTGTGTGGGTCTGTGTGTACGTGTGTGTGTGTGTTATTAACTGTTTGTGTGTGTATATATATATATATATATATATATATATATATATATGTATATATATATATGTGTGTGTGTGTGTGTGTGTGTGTGTTTATAAGTGTGTGTACGTGAGTGCTAAAAAGCAATAATAATTCAGTTATTACTAATAACAACAGAGTTAATAATTATAATTCTATTATATATTTTTTCATGCTAAACATTCCAATGGTAATTTGTAATTGTTAACGACAATGATAGCATATTTATTGATAGCATATTTATTCTTGCACCCAAAATTTGGTTTACAATTTTGCCTCTATCTGTTACAATTATTTCAAAACCTCGTCTTTTTAAACAGGGCTTTGGAGCGGAGCTGGAGCTGGAGCGCGGAGCAATCGGAGCAACCATATTCTGGTCGGAGCGTGAGCGGAGCCGGAGCACACAAATTTTAAGTGCTCCATGCTCCAATAATAAAAAAAAATATTTAGTTAAAAAATAAAAAAAATATTATTTTTTAATATTTTGTATCTTTTAGTTCAACTCAAAAAATTTTTTTTGTTATGATATTTAGAATCTTTCATAGCAAAGCAATGGCTTCCTTTTATACGCCATTTGTAAACACTAGTTGACTTTTTCACTAATCTTTTTTTCTGCAATCGTAAATTCGTAATCGCACATCAAAGGTAAGATTCTTATGAGAATTTTTTAAATAATATAATTTTTAATTTAAAAAGCAATACATTACTTCTTAACAAAATTTAAATTTTTAATTAAAATTAAATTAGGTCCGGATATGACTTCTAACCAAAATTTGTGTCAATCACCTACAATCGATAGTCGCTTTTTGAAAAATGATCTGGAAAATATATTTGAGTTTGAAGAAGAAAATGGACAAAAAAAGTCAGCTAGATGTAAGCTAAAAAATGATGATGTGCAATGCAATTTTCAGGCAATGGGAACAAGTGTGTCAAAAAAGTTTAATCTTTGGCGTCATGTGAAACGTAATCATCCTAAAATCTATGATGAGTTAGTAAAACAAAAAGATGAAAACGATAAAGCTGCCTCAGATAAAAAACGTGGTAATGAAAATGATGCCACGCCATCTAAAAAAAAAATAAAAACTGTACAAGAAAACATGAGCACATATTTTACATCATCAAAAGTTACAATCACTATAGATGCAAGTACTTTTCAAGAAGGACTTGTTGAGATGATTTGTTTGAGTATGGTTCCATTTACTTCATTTACATTAAAAAACAAAGGATTTCAAAAAATTGTTGGTGAAATGGCAAAAAAACTCGGTGTATCAATGGGGCATGATGCGGTTCGACATTTGGTAATAACCACAGCAGATTCTTCTCGCATGAAAGTTGCCTTTCAAGCTGCTGATCTTACTCCAGGTATGTTTATGAAGGAGTGGTGTAAACTTGAAAAATGTTTGGAAGAAAATGGAGAATATGTTGCGCTAGGAATTTTATCTTCTATGAGAAAGCGGAAAGAAAAGCTTTTACACAACACACATTTTCTTGCTGGAGTGTATGTTGATGCTAGATACAGAATCTTATTGAATAAATCAGACAAAATCAAAGCCAGAGAAGGTTTGGCTGATATTCAATTGCGATTAAAAAGAAAAAAGTATTTGATTCAGCAAAAGAGTCAACATCTGTTAATGTGTCCCAGCCAACATGTGATTTAAATTTTATCTCTGAAGATGATGATGATGATGATGATTTTGAAAATGAGCTAGATAGAAGAGAAAACACACGCAAAATTTCTATGAAATCACACACTGAAAATGATTGTGAAATACAAAGGCATTTTGAAGAGGACTGTAAAGCTGTTGAGGATGTTGGAAGAATAAAGGTGAATGTCTTCGAAGCCATTGCACATTATCCAGATCGAATCAGACAGTCAAGCAGAATAGCTGCAAGTATGCCAACATCACAAGCCAGCGTTGAAAGATTATTTTCAGCTTTGAAATTAATACTAAGTGATAACAGACAATCGATGAAAGAAGATTTGCTTTCCGCTATTTTGTTTATTAGAATGAATGATTGAATTATTGACTTAACTTGATTATCTTGTGTCTGTATGGTGTATCATTTTTATTTTTAGAACCTGTACTTTCTTAATTTTTTGTATATTTCATCAATTTAACTATACGTTACGGAAGTGGTACTAAAAATCAATCAATTGATTGATTAAAAAAATATTTGAAAAAATTTGTGTTAATTGATTCTAAAACACACTCCCGCCTCGGAGCACGGAGCGGAGCGGAGCAAACTTTTTTTTATGCCGGAGCGGAGCTGGAGCGGAGCAATTCAAAAAAGTGCTTGCTCCAAAGCCCTGTTTTTAAACAACATTGTAAAACTTATTTATTGTCTGATAAACGGCGATTTTTGCAACTATAGTT